CCTCCTCCTCCTCCTCCTCCTCCTCCTCCTCCTCAGGATAGTCTACACCACAGAAACCTTAACATCGCATGTCTTGCACGAACCTCTGGGCTTCTCCGAATGTCCTTCGAGTGGGGTCGGGTCGCCCGGCCGGTCCGCCTCGCCCCCCTCCCCCCTCCCGCCCCCCTCCCCCTGGCCCGAACGCAGATCTCCCTCCTCCTCCTGGTGTCTGGTACCTCTTCTTCTCCAGCGCCTCACACTCTGCTATGTGCTTCCCCGTCAGCTCCACCAGCTGCACGTGCGCATCCAGGTCGTCCCTGCTCAGCAGGGACGCCTTGCCCTTCGCTCGGAGGCTCTCCTCTTTCGCCATCTGCCTCTCCTCCGCCGACAGCTCGTTCTGCATCGCCTTGTGGGTCTCGTGTACATTCCTCAGCAGCTCCCTGATCTTGGAGGACAGGACCACAGCCTGCCTCCCTCCCGACCCCCCCGAGGCTTCCAGAAGGTCGTCCCTTTCCCCGATCATCTTGCGGATCTCCGAGACCTGGCGAGCAGCGAGCTTCTTCAGCCGAGTGAACTCATCCATCTCCTCTGGCTCCTGCTGCGATCTCTGCTCCGGCGACAGCTCCTCCGCCATGACCACTAACCTGTCGATCAGAGCGCCGAGGTCGTTCTCCTTCCTCCCGTAACTCCCCTTCCGAGACATGCTGGCGATCGATCCCGATGGCCCTCAATCGCACACAACTGACAAGACAACAGCTGCAAGCTCCTACAGCAAACGTGGAGCAGCAACAAGCAAGAGGACGGTTCTTATTCTTCCCGCTGACGACGCGACTGCACGTTCATCGTCCTGCTGCAGGCAGGAAACGTTACAAATACTCCCCACTACCAACATAGGATAATGAAACAACACCAATATCATGATTTAGTTCCAATCAAGCAGATAACTCTTGCAGCAACACTCGAGACTCTCGACTCTTGTCCTGAATCCAGCAAAACCTCTCCAAAGATCTATCTCAACAATATGTGACGGAATCCTTCTCACAAACCACAGGAACATTACACGCTCACTAGTTCTGACAGTCTACGTGACATCCATACTTTTTTATTCTTCTGAAATGCCAAGTTGTTTGTTCTGTGAACAGAGCAGCCTCGATTGCACAACCTATCCCCTGGTTGGCCCCATTCAACAGTCTCTCCGTTCTACTTGTCTTGAATGTCCCGACATTCCCTCATCCTCTACCACACAAGAACTACCAGATCTGTTCATATCTTCATCAATCAACCTCTCTTCACGCCTCTGATGTTCCTGCCTCTCACTCAACTTCCATGATCAACTCCGCCGCTGTCAGTCCTGCCCTGCCATAGCTCCGCCCACATCTACGCCAGTGCTCCCACCCACCGACACCCCTTGTACTTTACTTATGTTTCGTACAAATTTGGTAGAATGGTTATCATGGTACATATTTCATTACCATGTTGCTCTTTTAAATTTTAAAAATGAATTACAACTTTGAGTTATTTAACCACCCCTAGCTATTCGCCAAACAGGGGGAAAAGGGGACCCCACCCACACTATCATGGAGTTTTCCTGCACCCCAAATCAGCATTGAAGTACCCCTGCTTATAGCGTACAAGTGATAATACCACCGGTACAGAAACAGGAATACCCCGTTTCTTTACAATCAAGTACCCCACCTTTATAGAGGCTTATCACTTGTCCTGTCTGAATAATCCCACCACTCTGTGCGGCATTGTACCTACTTACTCGAGTACCCCACCGAAGCTCAACACCACCCCCTAGTCCTGTATCACCTACGCCCCGAGCCGCCGGGCCGGTGGTGATTGAAACTTCCGATCAACTTGCAAGGCCCGGCCCTTCCGACTGAGTCGGGTGACTCAAAGTTCTGCCGAAGTAATCAAGATCGGCGTGGCACAACCGTTGACTTGAGCGCAGGGGGGCAGTGACTCCTCTACCGTACCGTGTCAAAGTAAAGTCGATGCGGCCCGGCCTGCCGCTGGATCGGGCACGGCCCGGACGGTGCCCGCCCGGTGGCCGCGATCCACCCGGTCACCGACGGTTCCCCGGCACTGTAGACAGGCGGCGGCCTGACAGACAAGTCACTCAAGTTACTCCGGCGGCACTCCGCCAGGCCCTGAGGGTGGTTGACTGTACGGTCCAGTCCCTGGCCATACCGGCATCACGCTGAGGGTCATACTACATACTACATGACAGTGATACACGGCACTCCGTGTACAACGGCTGATCGGCCGGGCGGCCCGGCAGCCCAGGAGTCTCAGCCGTTGAGGCGTCATGTCATGATCCTTTGTCATACAATCCGATCATCATTAATTTGCATCTTGCTTCTTGAAGTTCTGCAAAAACACTTTCAGTTAGAAAGTTTTCACGAATGACAAAATTGACAGCGGTGAGCCGTCAAGCCTGAAACCGTGACTAGTATCAGCATTGAAAGCCGACATTGATACGAAGTCTATGGTGCTGCATGTAGTTTCCTCACATCATATCAATTTCCAAAGATTACGTCAATCTTTTGAGGATGTTTCCCTTTTATTGGTATGCACTTAAAGATCAGAAAGAATAATTACATTCAGAAAATGCCCTCACGAAAGCTATACAGGTATCATGCACTGGCATTGCGCTCTCTCACTGTTCGTATCCGAAGAGCTCTTGCCTGGCACGGCAGCTCCCGACCGTCGATTGACCCTCCATTCACCATCTGCTCCCGTTCAATATACGCGATGGCTCTTGCGAGCATCGTTAGGCGCTTCCTGTTGTAGCCTGAGAACCGTGAGAAGACCTGGGCATCGATGCCGAAAGGAACAGGAGAAGTCCTTGGCTCTGCTGCAGCCGGTTCAGCTTCATGTGAGTCGGATCTGTTGGAGGGGGCAAGAGGATCAGCGCGGGAGGCTTGCGGAGCTGGTTCAGTGTTCTGCATGCTGTGGGTGGTTGAGAGATTGTGAAGGCAAGTTTATACGGTGCGTCGCGGAGATCGAATCCGAATCTTGTAGTAAACATCTGTCATCAATCTTTTGAACGATTTACTTATCACAACGTTTCATCAATTTCGTGATGTAAAACTGTCAGCAGCTTGGCTGAAACATGGCTATGCCTTTTTACTTCAGGGAAATCTATACACCGCCAAGAAGTTGCTGACAATGCAGACCGCTCGCAGCCATGTCGGACTCGTGACAGTGTATGGTTCCGAAAGCAGAACGTTGGGGTTTTGAGCTGCACGGGACCCACCGAGGCCGTCATGGTAACGTGATGTCAGCTTCCTTCCATTAGAGCTGAGGCAGCAAACATTCGATCTATATACCGAGTTGCTGCCGCGCCATTGCGGTCGAGAGCCTGCCTCATCGAAATTCCGGCCGGACTGCTGAAGGATAATGCAGGTAGCGCCGAGCAACGAGGGCAAGCAGGGAGGGAGTAGGGACCCGATGCTCGCTCCCTCGGTATCCGACAGCGTATTCACTATCTACTCCTTTTTTGCAGCATTTTCCCTCCTGCTCTCATGCCCATTCAAGCTCCTCCTCAACATCATCGGCAGCAAACCCCGTGTCCAGCTGCGAAACATGGAAGGGAAGACCGTCATTGTGACGGGCGCCAATGCTGGCATCGGAAAGACTACGGCAGCATCTCTCTATGCCAATGGAGCATGTGTCATAATGGCATGTAGATCGTTGCAACGCGGAGAGGCAGCCAGGCAGGAAATCGAAGCGATGTTGGCATCACCCGAGAGCAGCCGCAAGCAACTTTGGATTCATTCAGACCGACCTCACCCGGGAAAGCTTTTGGTCAGGGAGCTCGATGTTTCGGATCTCGAATCAGTGAAACGTTTCGCAATCTCCATTGTCAAGGAATTCTCCAAGATCGACGTCTTGGTGAACAACGCTGGTATTAATGGAATGGGAACCGATATACCGTCCAAGACTCCACAAGGAATCCCTTTCATCTTCGGCACCAACTTCGTTGGTCACTTCCTCCTTACACGCCTCCTTCATCCCAACCTGTCGAAGTCGGGAGGAGGCAGGATTGTGAACCTGTCCTCCGTCATGCATCACTGGGGATCGAAAGATGTGTCCAAAGCTGTTTCCTCAGGGAAGTACCCGAGACAATATCAGAACTCCAAGTTGGCCATGGTACACCTGACTGCTGAGCTACAACGTCAGTATGCCGAGACAAGAGTCTCTTCCGTCGCTGTGAACCCAGGCTTCGTTGCAAGCGACATCTGGAGGGGAATACGCCCAGACTCGCTCGTTGGACGAATGTTCAGGCTAGCCATGGCCGTGCTTGCACTCGACACGAAGCAAGGTGCTGCTACCTCCGTCGCTGCAGCCTGCATGTCAGATGAGGAGATATGCGGCTCGAAAGTTCCCCTTTACCTTGTGCCATATTGGGTGCCGTCGTTCGCAAGGCTGCCGTTCGAAATGATGGGCGTGTTTACGGGTAGGTAGAATGTTTTGAGGTATTGCCGAGTTCACTTTTCATCCTTTCAGGTGTGCACTCTTGTCCACCACGTGTTTCAAAGAATGAAAGTAAGTCATCTCAAGATTTGTGCATGGAGTGACAATGAGTGCAGAGCAAATTTCCATGGAGCTTTGGAAGGAATGTACAAAGCTGTGCGCAGGTTACTTGGAGTGAAATGTACCTGATTGAAACCGAAAGCTATTTTTTCCTCAGAGGAAGAGTAGAACTCAATTGGATTAGTTACGATGTTGTTGCAATTCGTCCCATCGAAAGAATATATAACCGATTTCTTGGTGAAATCCGAAAATCATATTGCAGATGTCCGATCAATTTCAATACTATGCGCAAATTCACTTCAAATCCAATACAACCAAAGTATAACCAGTACAGATGGTTATACATCAAAATGACACGAAGAAAGTACATACTCTCAGTATAATGTGCGTCGAGAAACGATCTCCATCTAAATGAGGAAAAAACACAATAAATTTCATGTCACGATTCACTCCGTATGCATGTTGTTTAAGGAGAAAAAAAGAGACGAAAGGCATTGTTATAGATGAGACAGTGAGAATAGATGAAACTGCTCACAGCATGATAGATCCTCGACGAGTTTCCTTGTATCCATACCATCTATTCGCTGTTGAATTGTACGATATAATGTGCCTCAGTGACAAAATCGCGTGCATTCATCGTGACGCTAAAACGGACGTAGCACAACTGAGATCTTCCTGATTGAAAAAACTTCTGAAATCAATCAGCTTTTCACAGCCCCATCCAAGATATGCATCACACGTTGCGATCGTCGTGCAACCGACCAGAAAAGTGATAGTCCACGTTTCTTTATATACAGCAACATCCTTCAAATACTACTATACAACAAGTACATTCCTGGCGCTTGCGCTCACGCTCTGAGCTTCCTGAGCGCCCTCGCCTGGCATGGCAGCTCCCGCCCGTCTACCGAGCCCCCCGCCGCTTGCTGCTCCCGCTCGATGTACGCGATGGCGCCCGCAAGGCACGCCAGCCGCTTCCTGGCGCCCGCCGAGAAGCGAGAGTACACCCGCTCGTCCATGCCGAAAGGCGCCGCGGCGCCCGACTTGCTGCCAGCAGCGTCGCGGGAGATGGGGGAGGAGGAGAGGGAGGGTCTGGAGGCGGGATGATCGTCGCACGTGGGCTGCATGGCGGAGGTTGATGGGGAAAGAGAGTTGGAGGCGGGGGAGACGCGGTGGGAATATATACTCCGAGGTCACGGAGGGAGGGGCCGAGATTGACCGGCAGGGTCTGCGAAACGATGCGAGATTAGCGTGAGGGTCACGATATCCGCATGGCAGGCCAAGGCTTGATGAGGTGCCCCGCGTGACCTGATGACAGGCGAGGGAGACGGAGGGTGGGTGTTCACGTTGGTTGGGACGAAACAGCTTTTTGAGGAGCCCAAACGATGCGTATCTGGAGATGTATCACGCGTACCCCATGGCCTCATGACAACTCCTTCAGCTCCTTCGCGTCGCCTACTCTCTCAGATACGCTATCTTGATCCTGTTGCCGATGGCGCACAGCGCTACTTCATCTGTCCCATCATCCTGCGACTCAGAGCCACGAACCAGCGATGGCTTCCCTACTCGGGATGAAGGGCTTCTGTCACGCCTCTCGCCACAGAGAAGGAAGAGGCTGGCGTGCCTTGCGGGCGCCATCGCGTACATCGAGCGAGAGCAGCAAGCCGCGGGGGGCTCGGTAGACGGGCGGGAGCTGCCATGCCAGGCGAGGGCGGTGAGATGCCATGCCATGCCAGGGCGGTGAGATGCCAGGCTTCTGCTCTACGAGAGTAGCAAGCCATAGAGACAAAGGCTGGGAGTGATAGGATATACAGGTGTTGTAACATAGTAGGAGTCGGAGGATGTGGAATACCATGTTGTGTAGAATAAAAACAAGGATGAAGCAAGCACGATTGAGCCAGATGCTATGGTTGAGCTGAGACCAGCTACAAGGAGCAGACTGATGTATGATAACAGTGTTGCTAAGCTCTGACTGGCCGGGGACCTCGCCAGGACCGGACCGCCATTTTCAAGCTCGTTGTGCAATCAACCAGTCGAAGGGATATCGTGTCCGGAGGTTCACCTTGCTGTCTTGCCAAATACCTGTCATGTACGGCCGAGAAGAGAAAAGAAACAGCTCCCTGACGAAACAGGGCCTTGATGTATCAGCCTTTCACAGCCCCATCCAAGATATGCATCACACGTTGTGATCGTCGTGCAACCGACCAGAAAAGTGATAGTCCACGTTTCTTTATATACAGCAACATCCTTCAAATACTACTATACAACAAGTACATTCCTGGCGCTTGCGCTCACGCTCTGAGCTTCCTGAGCGCCCTCGCCTGGCATGGCAGCTCCCGCCCGTCTACCGAGCCCCCCGCCGCTTGCTGCTCCCGCTCGATGTACGCGATGGCGCCCGCAAGGCACGCCAGCCGCTTCCTGGCGCCCGCCGAGAAGCGAGAGTACACCCGCTCGTCCATGCCGAAAGGCGCCGCGGCGCCCGACTTGCTGCCAGCAGCGTCGCGGGAGATGGGGGAGGAGGAGAGGGAGGGTCTGGAGGCGGGATGATCGTCGCACGTGGGCTGCATGGCGGAGGTTGATGGGGAAAGAGAGTTGGGAGGCGGGGGAGACGCGGTGGGAATATATACTCCGAGGTCACGGAGGGAGGGGCCGAGATTGACCGGCAGGGTCTGCGAAACGATGCGAGATTGGCGTGAGAGTCACGATGTCCGCATGGCAGGCCAAGGCTTGATGAGGTGCCCCGCGTGACCTGGTGACAGGCGAGGGAGACGGAGGGTGTGTTTTCACGTTGGTTGGGACGAAACAGCTTTTTGAGGAGCCCAAACGATGCGTATCTGGAGATGTATCACGCGTACCCCATGGCCTCATGACAACTCCTTCAGCTCCTTCACGTCGCCTACTCTCTCAGATACGCTATCTTGATCCTGTTGCCGATGGCGCACAGCGCTACTTCATCTGTCCCATCATCCTGCGACTCAGAGCCACGAACCAGCGATGGCTTCCCTACTCGGGATGAAGGGCTTCTGTCACACCTCTCGCCACAGAGAAGGAAGAGGCTGGCGTGCCTTGCGGGCACTAT